GCTGAGGAGACCACGCTCTTGGATACAAGTGATCGATTACAAGTTTCAAACTACAGCTCAGTCTATAACCCTCATCCTGGGCACACCCCTGATTTTGCATTTATTTGACCCTTAAGGTATGTAACAATATATTTTTCCATCTAAGTCTAAAGAATCCTGCATTCTTTTATATGCTTCTCATCCTTTGGGACTGCACAGTTCTTATCTGATTGAATTCTGGTTACCTCTCAGAGCTTCATCTGATTATTCTGTCGTGAATCCCAAAGTCATTCTCCAAGGTCATTGCTCAGCCCCATCTCCTCATCCTACCTTACTCCCTGTAGTCCCTGAGTTCCTAATTCCCATGGGAAAGGAAAAGTGGGCTCCCCCAAGATCTATGCTCCCTTCCACCTGGGAGGCTAAGGAAAAAGTTCTAAAGCTGAGTGATTTCCCCCGGCAGTTGTTTGGGAGTTACATGACATGTAGCCACCTTCTTCCCACCCTTCCAGGAGCAAGCACTGCAGTGGTCAAGGTCTGTTGAGAGAACAAGGTCCACTTAAGAGGCACTGGAGCCAAACCCCTAATCTCCCAAAAGGACGAGGGGCTATAACCAAGGCACTCAACTGCAATGTCCTCAACAAGAGTCAAGTCAGCAGAGCCAAGAAGGAGCTCGCAAATCACAGCCCCAACCAACCAGCCCAAACATTAGAGTGTGCTATTTAGAGTCCTCTGGTTGCTTGGTAAACGAATGGAAATAGGCATGTTTCCTGCCCTTTCTAAAATAAATATATGTGCCATGTATTTGTATTTTTATGCTAAGGAGAAGTGATTATAAGAAATGACTTTCGGCTTCAGTGAGAATGGGGAGTAGGGCTGGGCCCCAGAGAGCAGAGGCTGGAGGAGAGAAAATGGGGCAGAAGGGAGGCCTCCAGGAGTCCTGTCCTTTGGGAAAGCTCCTACAAAAAAAAAAAAAAAAACCCTGTGCACGATGGGCCGTCCTAAAGCCAGAATGTAGAAGCCGCTCTGGTCCCTCTATCACTAATTTTGAGGAACCACTGGTGAAGCAGGAACTAACAGCTACGCTGGAACGCAGGCCTTCCTGCTAGCTCGAGTTCCAGCTCCATCCCTCAGGCTCCCCATTCATCCTCATCTTGTCTTCTACGGCTCCTGGGGCCTCTGATGGCATTTTCTCTTTTCCGCCTGCCACTGTCCACTCATCAGCCTAGTATGCAGGATCACCAACATCTCTCCCTCCACCTGGCTGAGAAAGAAACCCACAATGCCTCTTTGGGTTTTGAGGGTATTATTACTAACTGACACAGAGAAACCGATGGCTATAATTGAACCTACCAAACATGATCATCAAACATTTCCAGAATTCCTTAACAGTTCTACTGGTGTCACCCGTGGCTTTCATTGGGATCCTTGACTTCTTGACCCTTCCTTCTCTGCCTCTTGCTCATCCCCATCCTCCCCACACATCCCTATGATCAAGCCCTGGTGTTATTTGTTAGGCTCAGGCTGGGTCTCTGCCCATCTTACGGCCTAGAAGGGAGACAGGCAAGTGCGAGTCATGGGCGTGCAGTGAGAGGGGAGCCATGCAGGCATGCTGGGAGAGCCTCGAATCAAAGTCTTGTCTTGCACACTCCTCAGTGCTCCATCCTCCCTACCCCACCCCCATTATCCCAGCAGCTCCCAGTCCCTGCTCCATTCCAGCTGTGCCCGACTTCCTCTCTGTCTCTACCTCACGCGGTCCTGGTAGCCTTGTCCCAGGAGCTCCCTGATCTTCCTCCAGGCCCACAGATCCAAGTGGGACTCACCCACCCCTCAGAGAACATCCTAACAGCTATCTGCTTAGTCGGCATTTGATAAAGAGTTGTTTGATAAAAAAGAAATGTTTCCAACTAAAGTAAAAATAAATCCAGCAGAGGTCTCAAATATTAAATCTTCATTCTGGAACATAAACCCTACAAATATTGGAGTTTGTGCTTTGTGCAAAAGGTGAGTTATGCAACTGAATAGATTCTCTCTCAGACAATTATATAATTTACTTATCTGGAAACCAAACTCCTCACTCTGGGTTTCCTATCTGCCATACTGATTTAATCCACTGTTCAGTGCTTGCCCAGAACCTGTTTTGTTGTTGTTTTCAGCAATGGCTTTAAGCACCAGCTATATGGGCAGCATTTGGTACAAGTGCCCTTGAGTTCTGTTTTGCCCTTCCATTGCTGCTCAGAATTCCCTTTGAGAGCTCTAAGTGTCAACAGGCATGATCATTATTCAAGTCACCCGATAAGATACAAGAAGAGATGTCACGCAGGCTGCCAAACAGGACACATTATTGCCAGGTTCTGTGCCCTAAAGGAGGGGCCCAGGACAATCCAGGCAGATGGTCTGTGAGTTCTGACAGCCAGAAGCTTTCATGAGGGCATCGGACAACTCAAGTGAGCTGAATCCTCAGAGAGGAACAAGGAAATGCCAGCCGCCCTCTTTGCTCAAAGTAGAAGAATGAGTTAGCACTTCTCTGGGCCTGAAGTGGGCTTGAACTTGTCCAAGGATAACGAAAGCTTTGGGCAGCTGCCCAAGATCTGGTCATAACCCCGCTCAGAAAGTCACAAGAGGAGGGGTAAGATGGCAATGGGCCTACTATCCTCCTTATTGGAAGGATGCTGTGCCACCACGCACATGCCCACTTGTCAAGTTACTGCCGATCTAAAGCAGACGGCAGTGGGGCCTGTCACTCAAACAGACCATGGCCTTTAACCCACTCCTTTATTCCCCAGATCCAAGCCACCAGGGCTGGATAGTGTTCTTCTCCACTGGTTCCCCTGTACACCTGGAAGAAGGCCTCTGTCAAGCTGCCCAACTCCCCAGGAGTATGAGGTTGGAGGGTCAATAAAGAGAAAGTCAGAGGAAATGGCTTTAGGACAAACTCTGAATGTCCCAAGTGAAATGATCTCTGATTGCCCAGGCCCCGGGCCAGGCTGGCTCCCTACCTATGGGTTTGCCACTGTCTCACCATCCCTTGTTTTTCTCTCTCCCATGCCTAACCCGGCCCCCACTGACACTCCTCCCTCTCCCATCCTTCAAGATATCCATTCCTGGCGAAGTTTTGGGTTGCTGCGGCCCCCTGGGTCCTCTCAGAGCTTCCACAGCCCCCGCCCCCAGGTGAGGAAGAATCTTCCCCTAACCAGGCCCAGCTCAGCTTGTGTTTTGGACAGCTCTGGCCTCCTCTGCTTAAATACAGGCGGGTCCGGGGATAGGGGGCGGGGGAAGGCAGGTGAGAACAGTGATGGTCTTCAAGGCTCCAGGCTCTCAGGCCTTGTTTATGTTCTTCAAATTGAGTGACATGTTCACTAGCCAGAGGTTATGTCCGGTGCTACCTTTCACTAAAATTTTTTCACCTGTTGTTCTGAGGCCTCAGGGCGTATTTATACCAGAGGCCACCCTGACACACCAGCCAGGACCAGGACTCATCGGGTTTCACAAGTCCTCGCCTTCTTTTTTTCTCATTTTCCAATTGAGGAACGCCCACACTTCTCAGCTATTTGCCAAGCAGAGATGACTGACTCAAGCCGTGTCCAATGAAGAGCCGAGCCTTCCTGGTTCAGGTCCTCTTTCTTTCAGGGGTTCAGAAAGAGATAGTTCCTTGCTGGGAGTGCGCAGGGGATTTGGGTCTCCACATCCCCCAGAGCAAACAGGGAGCCTGCGCACACTGAGGCTCAGAGGGGAACTAGGCAACCTTATATAGGGCTCCAGGAAGGAACGCAAAGCCTCTCTGCCAAGCTGGTCTGCATACCCCCGCCACCTCTGCATCTGGAATCTTCTCTGCACGCATCTATGCTCTAGGTTTTTGCGTTTGACCTTTGCTTTGCTCCTTGGCGAAGCTCCTCTGGTATTCCACGTGGCCTTGTCCAATCTCAGGGGAAAGGGATTTTATCCGCACTTAGGCCAGGGGATTTGTCAGAGGCCAGATGCTGTTAGAGGCCATCGTGGTGCCAGAGACCAAGACAGCTGGAAGCCCTCAACTCTTCCTTATGAACACCAGTCGCACAGTGGTCTGACCCTTCTCTCCTGACCAGCTGGAAAGTTCTAGCTGTTGGCCTGAATACCTGGGAGGAAACTGGGGAAAGAATAAGGCAGCAGGGCCGGCTCCAGAGGACACGGCTAAGGTGGGGCTGAGGGATCCCGGCTGTGGATGCTCACTGCCGCCCAGGCCTGTGGAACCCCACTAACCTCGCTGGACCCCCTTGTCTGCCGAGGAACTGCAAGTGCTCGAATGGGTGGAATCTTTGACCACAGCGGGTCCACCAGGTGGCAGTGGTGCTCCTGCCCGCTAGGGGCAGAGCCTGCAGTGTGAGAAAGCTACCACCAGAGGGCAAAGCAGAGACAACCGGTTCCACTACGCTGCTGGTTGCCTAGCAACTGTGACGCAAAGCGCTCCCAGTTTGCACCCTCCTCAAGGCCTCCAGGTTATTTCTGGCATAACAGATTTGCACAAGGAGTGGCCTCAGGAATCCCAGAACTGCTTCTCTTTTAAGCCAGGAGAATATAAAATGGTCCAGGGACCCCAAGTCCAGCACCACTCTGGCGTCGAGGAGGCTATACCTCCTGCTCCTTGGAATGCCAGGGATTAGGAAAAAAAGATGAACGTTTGTCCTTCTCCCCTGTCGCTCCACAGCCATTGGGCAAGCTCTGATTTCCCTAGTGGCTGAAGCAGAGAAACCACCTCCTTCTCCCCTTTCCCACCCTCCCCCTTCTAATCGGGGGCAGGATTAAAGGCTAGTGACCTTGAGCCAGACCTTGAGCCTCTCCGCTCCTCAGCTGCACTTCAGCGGACTCAAAGGGGTGACGATAAGGCCCAGCTCTGACCTTCTGCGGTCTTGATTCTCTCCCTTTCCCCTAAGAATTCTGTCCTTGCCTCAAACCTCTCCCCAGTTTTGATGACCCTGAAAAAAGAATTCTTCCAATTCCAGATGGGTAAGTATGACCTGAGAAACCAAGACATGGAATCAAGAAAGTGAGGCAGACACGAGACAAGGAGTGTGGTTGTAATGAGCTCAAAGCCTGTGATGGTCTGGTCTGTGACAGGACCTGGGTGAGACAAGGTCAGGGCCCCAGGCAGAGTCAGGGCGCCCCTGTGGCCGAGGCATCAGTAGTGGTTCCAGGCACATCTCTAGGTCAGGAGGAGCCCGCCGGCCCTGGGGCTGGGTTCTGACAGGGGCCCGGGTGTCGGTCACTAAGGTGTTGGGGTCTCTGAGGGGCCCCACGTTGGAGGATCACACAGGCATGTGCAGCTCATTGTACTCATCCTGGCCGTCCTCGTCGAAGTTTGGTTCAGCATCTTCCGAGTCCAGCTGCGGGAGGAGCAGAGGTCATGGGAGGCGGGGAAGCACACTCGTGCCCTCCAGCTCCTCCCCTGGACAGCAGCCCTCACTGCTCCCAGACCTTTCCAGGCCTCACTGTCTGGAGGGACCATGACCCTAGATTGAAGCATTTCCCTCTGGCCAAAACCTTCAGGTCATCTTCCCCAGTGACACTTCCTGATAATAATGATAGCAGCTGCTGCATATGAAGTGCTTTCCCGGGGCCAGTCCTAGCTTCTGCAGTAGGTACCTCTACAGACCATGTTTGGGTGGATGATTTGCAAAAAGATGTCCCTTCCTCTAGATTACGAAAATAAGACTCAAGAGGGATTTCAGCTCCACCCCACCCCCACGGGTTGTCCCTTGGCTACGTGCTTTTGTTCAGTGCATGACCTGCAGAGCCGTCTGCAGCAGCCCTGTGCATTCTTTACACCAAACCATTGTACTCAGTACTTTACCTGAATTACTGTTTAATCCTCACAACAATCTTATAAGGTAGAATCTATTATTAGCCCCATTACACAGATGAAAATAAGATTTCAGAGGTTAGGTAACTTGTGTACAGTCACACCACTAGCAGGTGGTACAGCAGAGATTGGAACCCAGGTCTCCCTGATTCCAGGCCCATCCACCCTGATGCTGCCCCGAGCACCAGCCCTTACCGCCTGCAGCTCCCTGTCCTGAAAGAGCCGGGGCAGAAGGCAACGCCTCAGAGGCACCGTGAGCAGCAACAGGAAGGGGAAAGCGAGCGAGGCTGCCGTGGACTTGACCACCCAGAGCAGTGCGATGCAGCCCAGCTGGATGCAGGTGAACAGGTGCATCCGCCATGTCTTCACCTGGAGAACGGGCATCAGATCTCACCACACTCCTACCTACATCTCTGGGGACGCCGATCCCCAGATCCCAACCCATCTTCATAGTCATCCTGTCCATCTCTGACCCAGGAATCCCTCAGAACCACCCCCCGTCACCCTGTCTCCCCACCTCCATGCTTCCTGGCTCTACCTTGGTCACATAGGGCTGCTCGGGATGGTGTTTTGCCGGCATGAGGATGAGCAACAGACGCTGGGACAACTGGATACCAGACAGTGACGTGACCCCCATGTACAGGAAAATCCCAAAGAGCACGGCCAAGGGGATCCGGCGCAGCACAGCCCCCATGACGATGGACAGGCCTGGAGGAGGTGACACAGACCTACCTGACCCCTCAAACAGCCCTGTGAAGATGAGCGGGCCTGGGGAGGAGACAGGACATGGACCATCTAACTGATCAGCTGGGCCTCATCACCATGAACAAGAGAAGACGGAATAGGAGAGAACACCGGGAAAGGGGTTGAGGGAAAGGGGCTGATGGAGGGTCCAGGGCAGGACAGAGGCTAGACAGTCTCATTTAGAGATTTGGAGGGGACCTGGGCCGAGCCTGGGAGAGAGAGTTGACTTAAGGCCTTGGGGTCCAAGAAGGCAGGGGCCAGGGCCTCGCAAGGTGGACACTCTCACCTACGAGGCTGGCGATGAGCACGCCGGTGACTCGCTGCTCCCGCACCTCCTGAATCTGGGGTTTGTCACCAGGTGCAATGGCAGTGCGCATTACAGTCAGCGCGTTGACGTGGGTGACTGAGCGGACGGTGGCGGCCGTGAGCCAGGGCAACCCAAACAGCCCACAGAGCCCACCCAGAGAGCCGATCAGCAGCAGGTCCAGGTGGAAGCCAGAGCCCTTGAGCAGCCTCCGAGCCTTCTGACTGACAATAAGACTGCAGGAGAGGACGGACGGAAGGGGGCTGAGTGTCCTGGCGGGCGGGCCAGCGGCAGGGCGAGGCACACGCGGCAGGGGCAAGGTAGTGGGGGGAGCACGTGCAGAGAAGGGCTCTCCCCAGGACCTGCCAGCTTCCTCTTTCAAGTTCCCAAATTGAAGTTCTCACATTTAAGCAAATTGAGCCAAATTCCTATACTGTGGATGTTTAAAATACCACAAAAGCCAGATGCCAGATCTCACCACGTTACTGTGGTTTAACCCAAATGAGATACGTGTGAGCATCGCTGAGTCAGAGAATATACTGCTGTGTGCTAAAGACTGTTAAATGTCACCCTGTAAATGGTGGTGGCAACAGAGATATCACGTCAAAGCACCACAGGGAAACTGTGTCCCAGGGGCGGGTACCCTCCTGCTGCCCATGCCACCACCCTCCACTCCTCCGCCCGAGTCCCCTCGAGCCCTCTCACGCAGTGATCTGTGTCTCCATGAAGATCAGGATGAGGACCAGGAGGGCCGGGACAGCGGCTGCCACCATCATCCAGGGCGGGAAAGGACGGGCACTGCCCAGGGGTGGGATGAACCATGTACGCTTATCAGGGGAGGTCACCGAGAGCCCCGTGGGCACCGTCAGCTTCTGCATGGCCAGAAGGAAGACAGGACTCAGGGACACTGCCACTCCATGCTAGGAACCCATGCAGCAGCTGCTCCCACGAAAGTGTGTGTCCCCAGTACCAGGGATCCGGGGAACTTGGGGGTGAACAGGTTTGGGGGAAATTAGTTTTGTATCCTCCAAAGTCCTACAAGGATCCAGTAGAGGACAGAGACCTCCTCCCCAAGCCCCAGAACTGCCAAGAGAACTGCTGTGGGAACATCTGCCATTCTGCCCCCAGCCCCCCACCTGCTCCCCCAGGAGTCGTGACTAAGGGTCACCTATGGCCTCAGATCCCCTGGGTGGCCTCCTCCGCCGGATTGTGTGGCTGTTTCTGAAACCCCCAGCCTCCCACCCCTGTGGCCCCAGCAGGCCACTGCCAGACACTAGAAAATCGGGGTTCCAGCCTCGATCTTGGCTGCTGGGGCAATGGGGACGTGTCACAGCACGCCTCTCAAGGCCCTGGGTGAGCATGAGCTGCCGGAGGGGGCTGAGGTTCACTCAAATGCGTGTAGGTGTCTGTAATGGAGTAATCCACCAGGACCATGACCAGAATGGAGATGGGGATGCCGAAGTCCCCGATGATGCGTCGAGCCTCGAGAGAAGGGAGCGGAAGGTGGAGACGAGGGTCAGGAGGCTAACGTGGGGCCTATCACCCCCGACCAGATCTTGGGCCTGATCTGGTGCCGGAAGTTCCCTAACCTGTCCCTTTAAACCCCATGGGTGCCAGCGCCCTCCAGGCAGGCATTTCTCTCCTGATTAGACTTCGCTGGGCCTTCTGATGAGGGTAGGGAGGCTCAGACTTGGTGTAGGTCCATGGGCTGACCAGGCCCCATTCCCAGCAGCCATGCACCTTGCCACCCAGGAAGCGGCTGTTCCTGAACTTGCGTAGGAAGAAGGCGATGAGGAAGGTCCCGAGCATGAGGATGAGGGACAGCAGAGCCGTGTTGGGCTGGTTCCTCGGGCCGGGCGGCCCCTCGGTAGGAGGCAGGGCACTCCCGTTCAGGTCCGGCCCAGCCTCCAATGCCCTCTCAGGGGGGTAGAATGGCAGCAGTGGGTGCTCCGTGAACACCTGTGTGGGTTACAAGGTTGCCCTAGTGCTCACCTAAGCAGGTGACCCTGATTTCATCACTATCGGTAACACCTGTGAGGGAGAGGACTGGCCCCTCACATACCTGACCAGACAACAGTAACACAGAACATGCAGCTGCATCATACACACACCCCTCTGCAAAAGGTGACCCGATGACACCCAGCCCCATAGGGCTGACAGCGCCCGGTCTTTCACATACCTGTGCAAGTGCGTCCTGGAGTTCTGACCGATATACCCTGTGGGTTTGACTCCTTCCCTTTAAGCTCCAACCTAACCCAGGGTGTCCCCAACCCCACGAGCCCACACCCAACAGAGCCCCCCTCTTTGTTCCCTCTGCCCCCAGCGCTCCGTGCCGCCCCCTCCCCAGGGCACTGCCCAGCACCTACCCACCTACACCCACCCCACCCCCAGGACCTCTCTGGACCTCCACCTTATAGAGCTTGTGGAAGGTCTCGTAGATGAAAATCAGAGAGATCAGGAAGGCGAAGATCTCCTGGGTGAACGGCGAGATATAGCGGACCAGGAAGCTGCCCTCCGCAGCCACCAGGGCAAGGACGAAGACCACCAGCCAGAGGCCAACCCACACCCGGCCGGTGAGGTACTCCAGGTCCTGGGCTCGGCAGAACTGGCGGCCAGGAGGGAGGGGTGGTTACCCGCAGCAGTCTGTCCTGGGCATCGGGGCCCCACAGAATGGGCGGGGGTCTGCAGGGCAGTGAAGGAGGAGGAGGGGGAGACTGCAGGAAGCTGTCAGCTGGGCGGAGGGACTGGGGCCGGGCAGGTGATCCCTGGGGAGGGCCGGGGCAGGGCTGTCACCTTGAAGAAGGCTTCTTCAAAGACCAGCAGTGGCCCTGAGAAGCCAACCACAAGCAGCGGCTGGGCTCCCAGCAGAGAGAAGAGGACTCCGAGCACCGCGGTGGACACGATCAGCTCGGACACGCCCATCAGCCCCTCGGTCTTCTCCCCTGGGGCAGGCAAGGGTCAGCAGGATGGCCCCTGGCCCGGTTCCCACCTGGCCCCTCTTCCTGATCAGCTTACCCTAACCTGGGGACCTAAAAGAATGGAGCAGCCACCCAGAGCGATAAATAGAGCCCCCTCATCAATCCCATCCCTCCTGCCCCCTCACCACCAGCCCCCCAAAGTGATCACAGGATCCCCCACCCCTTCTCACTTTATAGCGCCCCAAAAGTGATCGCTAGAATCCCCTGACCCAGCAGCTCACACCGAAGTCCATGCCCTCTCACCCACGAGCCCCTAAGACGATCACTGGGGCCCAGGCACCTTGCCGGTGACAGAGCCCTCTCCCCTTTCCTCCCCTTCCCCTCACCTAGCAGCCCCCCAAAGGTGATGGCGGGGCTGAGGGCGGCGAAGTAGATGAACAGCACGGCTGCCACACACTGGGAGTGCAGAGCGTCACGCAGGTCGCTGGGGTAATGTGGGTACCGGCGCTTCACGTCCCGAACCAGCCCCCCAAATACTGAGCCAGTCCGCCGCAGGGGGTCATCTTCAGGGGTCGCCTCAGAGCCCCCCAACTCCACTGACAGCTCTGGGGGAACAAGGTGCTGCTGGAACGCAGACCAGTCCCTCGTGCTGGGAGGCCCTCAACCCTTCCCTGCCTGGGCCACTGGGAGTCCGGAGAGGGCTGGGGCCACAGCCGTAGGAGCTGTGCGGAGGAGAGTGGGGTGGGGGACGGTGGGCCCCAAAGGGGCTGACCTTTCCCAGGGGCCACGCAGCTGCCCCGGGTGGTCATCTCCACTTTGGTCTGTTCACGCTCCCGCCGCTTCCGCAGCAGCTCTCGCTGGAAGGCGGCCACAGAGCGCAGCAGGTCCCGTCCCTCCACCTCCGACGGGGGGATCACGATGCTGCCATCCAGGAACTCGCTGATGGCGCTCAGAAGGTCCTGCCGGTCGTCGGCCTGGTAGGCAGCCTCATGAAACAGCTGAGGGGCAGGAGGGCAGGGGCTGAGCCGGCCCAGGGAGCCCCCGGGAGGAGGCTTCAGGGAGGGGGTGTTGGGACGTCCAGCAACATACACAGGTCCGGTCCAGTTGTCCAAATTCTGACTCACAGCTCTGCTGGCCAGCAAGCAGCCACTGCCCTGAACACTGCCCCCTCCGAGGGCCCTCTAGTCCCCTGGGAGCCTCCAGACTTTTCCACGATGCAACGGCTAAAGGGGCAATGCCCGGCATAGCAGAGTGCCCACGCCCTGTAGGCTGGTGAGTGTCCTGACCATCACCCCTGGCTAGAGGACCCTCCTATCCAAGTCCAGGAGAAGCCGCAGCAAAGACCACCGTAGCCAGCCCTCCTGTTCAGGTCTCACGTCATGTCCAAAACTTGGGGGCCTGGGCTGCTTCTCCCCCTGCATCCACCTCCGCACTCCCTTTCTCCCCTCGCCCAACAGCCCTCTCCACCACTCCAAGCATGGCCTCTACCCAGGAGGCTCATTAGCACTCGCATCCGTGGGCACCCTGGGCGCAGTGAGAGAGACAGGAAACTAGGAGGGCCCAGGAAACAGGCCTAGAGCGCCAGCCCCCGGGCTACGAGACCAACCTTGTCAGACATGAGGGTGGCAATGGAGCGCCCGAGCTCATGATAGTCCGTGCTGGTATGACTGGGCCCCAGCATCACAAAGAGGAAGCGAACCGGCACGGGGACCTCAAGCACAGACTCCAAGAGCACGGCCTCATTCAATCGCACGAAGGCCGCTGCCGGCTGCTCCAGGAAAGGCACACAGCCTGCGGGGAGAGTGAGATGAGGCACAGGGCTCTGGGCAAAGGGGAGTGCCCCGCCCACGAGGGCCTGGGAGGTCCCCTCCAGGGCAGGCGGGACTAGCTCAGGCCACCATGTACAGCGGAACCAGTGGTGTACTACATAAAGAAATCCCGACCTAAAGGAGGCTTATTCATCTATGTGTTGGTCTAGTCATCTCAATTTACCAACAAAGGAAAATTCAGGGTCTCAAGGAAGGGGCGCTTTTTTTCAGCTTCTCACCAAGGTGGTACAGGGACTAGCAGGTGTCCAAGATAGCAGAAAACTGGAAGGGAAGCAGGCAGAGAACTGGGGAAGAAAGGGCGGCGGGCAGGACGGGTTGTGAGGAAGAGCATGGGCAGGTGGGGGCCTGGATGGGGCTGGGAGAGGCAGCCTGCAGGCCAGAGCCTAAGGCCAGCAAACCACAGTGGAGGTGCCCATGCCGTGTGGCCCCTGCGCCCAGCGCCCAGCCCTCCTTACCCACGAGCACCACAGTAGCCTCAGCGTCTTCGGGGATCTTCTCCAGCAGCTTCAGGCTTTTCCCCCGGTGACTGTCTCCCCCAGGCATGTGGAGGGGCTTCTGAGGACGCAGAACTGGAATAGGGCTGGGACCCAGACCGGAGGCCATGGCAGGCCCTCCCTGCCCTTGCCCCAGCCCTGGACGCTGCCCTCTAACTCTGCCTCCTCCCACCCCAGCCAGGGTAGGGACTGTGGGTGATGTGCCCCACATCGGGAGGGGACCAGCCTAAGATCTGGACCCCTCCCCCAAAACCCCTCCCCCCAACAACCACCTCAGCCTTGTCTTGTTTTCAATGTCTTCCCCGGATCTGCTACATCATCCCATTTCAACCTCCTGTTTCTCCGGGGTAGGGTTCCCTCGTGCATGTCCCCTACAGATCTCCCACACGCCTAGTACGGTGCAAGGTGTCCCACCTCCCTAACCCACTCAGTGAAGCCATAATGGCTTCCACTGAAACTAGAAGGCCTCTCCATCCCCCAGCCCAGGTCAGAGCTAGGCAACTGACCTCCTTAGCATCAGGATCATGAGGCCAGAGTGGTGCTGGCTCCCCCAGGTCATCAGCCATGGTAGGCACCGCCCCATCAGGGCCATGGCTGGGGGTAGGGTGGTGATTGCCCAGGACTGAGTTCACGCTGGAGCTGGACGTGTTTCGGGGAAAGAAGCCACTGTCCTTGTCATCATTGGGGTGGCTGGGGAAAGGGCAGAGGGAGCAAGGCAGGTTAAGAGAGGCCTTTGGTGGACGGAGGTCATGAGGCAGTGAGAAATGGAGAGTCAGGGCCTCTATCCCTCTGCCTCAATGTAAGAAAGAACTTTCTAATGGCTGGCGATGTCCAAAATGAACCAGGAATGAGTTCCCCGTCCATCGGAGTATTCGAGCAGAACCTGGAGAGCCACGCAGAAGCGTCTGTATTCCTGGAGGGGCAGCTGAACCAGGAGGCCCCCTCCCAGCACCCCACCCGGTCACCTGTGCTTCAGTAGCAGGGTACGCAGGACACTGGCCCTGTCCTCTGGCCGAATCTGGTCAGACACAATCATCGTCTCCACCACAAGATGTGCGATGCCTGGCAGAGTGGTCTGCTCCAGGTCCAGGAGGGCAGCTCCTGGGAGCATGTAGGGGAGCAGACACAGCCCCATCAGATAGTAAAAAACAACCCCCCAGCTGCCTCGCTTCCCCAGAGCAGGCAAACGTGCTGGGTGAGCCAAGTGCCCGGTACACCCAGGCAGATATACAGTTCCACGTGGCCATGACCCAGCCAGAAGAACGAGGACACAGCACCTCCTCGCCCAGGGAGGGGAGTCATTTGCTGGTTAACTCCATGTAGACTGATACCTATTCTGCCCCAGGTACAGTGCCAGGGACTAGGGCATAGTACAGGCCCTCAGAGTTTATAACTCACAAGCAGTTGGAGTCCACATCCCCAGAGTAGCAGCCAGACCTCACTTGACTCCAGGGCGTGGTCCCCAGGAGCCAGGCAGCCCAGCACAGGCTCTGTGGTCTGTGAATAGGGCATGCAGCCCCAGGGTCAGGCCTGCAGGGTCCCTACCGTGGGCAATGGTCCTCCTGAGCTCCAGGAGGCTGCGGAAAGACAGCGAGGCCACACGGGGCTTCCCCCAGCGCTCCGTCTCCTCCTCCACATCCTCCTCAAACTTGATCCAGCGAGCCGTCTCCCGCCAGTGGGGCTCCTGGCTGCGGTCCAGCATCAGCTCGTTCAGCTCCACAAACACCTGGGGTGGGCACCAAGGGTGAGGGCCTGGGGGCCACCAGGTGGGACCAGCTGTCTTGGGGACATGGTGACGGGGCAAGGTGGGGAGGACGGGAAAGAAAAGCTCTGGGAAGGGGAGGCGAGAGGAAGCTGCAGGCCCACCCCCTCAGGTCCTGTACCTCGTGAGGCCTTCGGTCCAGCTTCTTCTTCTTCTTCTTCCTGCGCAGGATGGGAGCCAGGCCACCGGGGCTGCCCCTCCCACCCTGTGTCCGAGATGGCTTCTTCACTAGGTGCCGCCGCATACCAGGGTTGTCCTCCAGCCGATGACCTGCGGAGAAGGTGGGCTTAGTGGTCCCAGGGGTCCAACTCGGGGCCTCAGGGCCATGGCCAGCCTCTCCAGACCCCTGCTCTGCCCAGCCAGTCCACTTCGTGGGTGCCACAGTCACCCAGGGGCCATGCCAACAGGACTATCTTGTCCAATGTGGCAATTTCATACAGGCCCAGAGAGGAGGAAGGACTAGCCCAAAGTCACAGGGGACCACTAGCCAAGCTACAGCAAAAAAGCAGACCCCCAACTCAGTCCACAGCCCCTGCCACGGCCACCGCCTCTCACTTTGGAGTGTCATGACTTGAGTGTCATGACTTACGTCAAGTCGCCAGGCCCCAGGCCCCCAGCACTCTCCCTCTGAGCCCTCTCTTGGCACCCACATCTAACCCCATAGGTACTCGTCTGGGCAGAATCAGGCAGAACCTCTCTCCTTTCCTCCCCGCCTGCCCCTTCCAGGCCAGCAGCCGGGTTACTCACAAGCTGGTCCCCCTGCCATGGGGCTCAGCTGGCCCCTGGTGGACTCCCCCAGGTCACAGTCCTCAAGGTCCAGCACAAACATCTCTAAGTCCTCTGAGGCCAGCGAGTCTCGAGGGCTAGGGGCTGGAGCCATCCCGGAGCCCTGGCTCTCGGCATCCCAGGGCCCGGGGCTCAATGTCCCATTGGGCTCTGTGACCTCCTCCCGAGGACTCGTCATTCCCCCAACGACCAAGGCCTCGGCCCCTGCTCCCTCCCAGAGCCCCAGCTCTCCTCAGATGAAGGAGCCTGGACAGGAGTAGTGTTCGTCTAGCCAGAGCTGGAGATGGCTGGGCCTCTTTATCCCGACTCTCCACGTCCCCAGGCTTGTTGCGGGCTGCTTCCAGCCCCCACCCACGATCTGTAAACACGCCCTCCCCCTGACCTGCCCCCATCGGGCCACCACCACTGCTGCTGCCATCGGATTGTTCCTGTCCCTGTCCTCAGGCCCTGGCAACTTTCCATGACGTATTGAGCTCAAAGCCCTCCTCCCCACCCCCGCCTACACACTGGTTCCAAGGGGGAGGAGGGTGGGGTCACTGATGCCCCTGGCCCAGGCACAGAGCCTCGTGGGTGATGACAGGTGGCACAGAAACCAGGGCACTGATAAGATGGAAGGAATGTGCCGAGATCACGGCCAGGTCCAGCCATGGGTGGCTGGACAGGAGAGAGGGGGCCCCTAACGCAGGGAGAAGCAGGCCTGGCAGAGCGGCTCAGACTCAGGGGGCTGCTGCGAAGGGGTAAAGAGTCGGCCCTGAGAAGCAGAGCTTTGGGCGAGGGGGGACATAATGATATCTCCAAACATCATGTGGAAGGGGGGCTGCCTTATGCCCGGGGTGACTCAGAGGACAGAATCAGGACAGAAGAGCAGAAGTGTCATGAAGGGAAATAGCTCTGGCAACCAGAGAGGTGGCTTCGTGAGGTAGTGAGCTCCCCATCACTGGCCATGTTCCAGCAGATAGGGACACTGCAGAGGAAGCTCAAGCCTGGCCAGGGGAGAGCACGGAGCCTCTCTAAGGTCCCACACAGACTCAGTGCTCATGGGAGTGGGCCGTGGGGGAAGGCCACAGGGTGTCACTCACTCTTCATGTCGTCCAGGTCCGCAGAGCCCAGCATCTGGGCCTCTGCCTCGTCGGTGGGCACCTGCTGCTCTGGGCCACCCAGGCTGCCCAGGGCACTTCCTGGGCACAGCCGCTCCCGTAGATCATAGCTGGCTGATGGGCTCCAAGGCCGGCTCTTCTCCCCAGCAACTCGGGAGGCCCGGGCCCGGGAGCTGGGGGAGCTGAGGAAGCAACATGGCAGCCTTGACTTGATGGGGAACCGCAGTAGAGATGGGCCGTTTAGGGGATTCCTTTGCCTTCTGCTTGGGGCAAGGCCTGCAGCGGCCCCCTGAGCACTAGACACAGGCTCCTCCTGGGCAGAGAAGGAAGCTCACCTCCTCCTTCCTGTCCCTTCCTCTCAATCCTCGTCCTCCTCTTCACTTTGACACCCTCTCTCCCACATGGCCCTCTGGCTCTCTCTTCCTTGTCAATCATCTGGACCCCGCCTCCTCTGCTCCCTCTTCTCCTTCCTTCTTCTTTGGGGTCAGAGCTGGACACACTCTCCAGGAAGGAGGCCAGGACCTCCTCTGGGCTGGGCTAGAGGCCAGTACCTGACCGAGTGCTGGGGGCTCTTGTCGGAGCGAGGGTTGCCCGAGGGCAGGGGCTTGGTGAAGGTGGCCCTCACCGAGAGGCCGGGACTGTCATCCTCGTCACTTCCAATGGAGAACTGTGGACAAACCAGAACTGTGGACAAACCAGGGCCCCTGGGCTCCCGCCCCAACTCAGCTCCCAGCCCACTGCCCAGCCTGGCCCAGGCCCCGTCTGCCATGTCCTCGCCTCCTCCCCGCACTCCTCCCCCGGCCGCCAGCCCTCCTTCGGGGGCAGACTCCTACCTTTGCTTTCTGTGGGGACCCCGAGGGTAGGGGCTCCACAGGCTCTGCCTCAGATTCCCCTTCCTCTTCCTCTTCCTCCTCCTCCTCGTCCTCCTCCACCCCGGCTCCCCTCTCCTCCTGGATGGGAGGGGTCCCCTCAGAGGGGGCAGCGGAGGTCTTCTCCTTCTTCCTCTTCCCCCTGGTTTGCCGGGCAGAGGTGGAGGGCAGTCGCCGCAGCTTGTGGGGCGGAGGCAGGCGTGCTGAGAGCGGGTGGTGGGTGTGGTGGGATGTGTGCCGGTGAACTGAGGGTGTAGGAGAACCAGATGAAGCCCCCACAGCAGAATGGGACCCCATTCCACCCTAGGGGTACACACCTTATTCTAGCTCAAGGCCTCAAACAAGGGCACCCTAGTCCTTTCTCCAGAGCCAGGCTCCCCCCAACACCTGTGTCCATGTCCTGCCATTGGTGAGGCCTGGTAGAGTAGGGGAACAGGAATAATGGATGGGGGGGTGTCATGGGGTGGGGCAGGAGGACACGATAGAGCAAGAAAAAGAAAAGTAGAATCAGAAAGCTAAGGAAGATGAAAAGGCAGAGAGAACAAGGCCAGGGGTCCGGCAGAGCCTTGGGGAAGATGAAGGTCACGGAGGGAGGCCTCAGGCCCATCTCCCTACGATTCACCTGAGACTGGGGCCCAGCTCCCCTGGCAGGTGGACAGGCAATGGGTGAGTGAGGCAGGATGACTTAACATGGTATGGTGGCCCAGCACAGCATCCAGCACAGCATCCAGCACAAGATGGCACTGGGTAACCAAGCCAGTGGTGAGCACGGCGATGGTGGCAATGAAGGTGATGGTGGTGAGGGCAGCCACACTAGGGGTCCCCAGGCTACCCACACTCAAAGTCCCGCTCGCTGTAGCTGCGGCTGGGCTTCTCGGGGTCCCAGGCCGGGGGCTTGCTGATGAGATCCCCAAACCTGCTCACAGCCAAGGTCTTGCCCAAGTCATCATCCTCCTCCTCCATGTCTGGACTCAGAGGGGGCTCCTCCAAGGGCACCCGGACCTGTGGGCTCAGACAGCCTCTCCTAAGGCCCTTACCCATGAAGGCTCCACACACCCACCCCAACTCCAAATCCTGAGCGGGGCCAGGGGGCACCAGTAGGCTCCATCTTCTACAACCCCTTCTCCCCAGGCCCCAGGCTGGGGTCAGCACCCCAGGCTCCCAGGGCTAGGGAGAAAGGTCAACAGATCTGAAAAAATAGCAAAAGACCCCCTCTTTCTCCATACCCCCAGCCCAGCCCCATCCCTGGATCTGGGGGTCCCAGGGTGAGCCAGAGGACGCCCCTCTCCTCGGGGGCCCTCCGTCTGCCTCCTCTTCCCCCACCCCTGCGCGTCAGTCACCTGGGGTAGGGGGGAGGCGCCCCCGGGCGGCGGGATCACTCCGTTGGCCATGGCCGGGGAGGCGGCTCGGGAGGCTCTCGCTCACTGAGGGACCCGTGACCCGGGTGAGAAGAAGAGGGCGCTGCGGGGGCCTAGCGAGGAGCCCTGGGGGAGGAGGGAGGGTCAGAATCCCCGCGGCTGCCCTCTCCCCGTCCCTGGCGCGGACCTCCCGC